ACAAAGGGCCGTGTGCGCAGCAGCAGCAGCACCCGGGTGAGGGGGGAGGGGGCCTCCTTGCCTTGGCGCTCAGGGTCCCTGCGCAGAGCGGCCCAAGATGTCTGATGCGCCCTCCTCACTTCTGCTCATGCTCCACAGCCCCCGGCGGCTCTAGCGAGCATGTGCCGGGCGCCCGCACATGTGCGCTGGGACTGGGAAGCCGCTGCCCTCTCTCTGGCCTCTGGGACTCGCTCATTCAAATTCTGCAGGCGCGCCCGGCGCTACAGGTGTGCGCACAGCGCGCTGGCGGAGTCTGGGGGGGAACGGGCTGGTTCCCCGCAGCAGCGGTGGGGCCCATCCCTGAGAAAAGCAGCAGGTTGTTGTGCAAGGAGCCTTGTCTTTCTCCCCGTGCACGAAAAAGGATGGGAGGACGCATCTCTCTGCTGCTCCCTGCGGTTTCAGGTTTGGGAGCAGAGAAATCAGTGAGTGTAGCGCACTCATTGAAAGTATCTGCGCGATGTGCCGCAGCAGGCTAAAGAAATATATTCATTAATAAAAGCTAACTGTTCAGAACCATTACAAGAGAAATAATCACAAACACTTACCTAACGCTATGGTACTTGCCCCCAAAAAGCAGGCCCACCAACAGGTGGGGTGTCAAAGGCAACTGCCCTGGGGCCCAGCTATTCAAAAGGGCCTAGAGCACCTGGCCACTGCTATTGGGGGGTCTTTTAGATTGCCACCAAAGTATGCTCTCAGATCTGAGGGCTGCCTGGGAATATGGGGGGAGGCATGCACAGTACAGAGCACTCAGGGCAGCCCCACTCCTTCTGCCCAAGTCCCCATCAATTCTGGGAGGATGGAGCTGCTCCACCCACCATGCCCAGGAGCTCAGCAAAAAGATACAGGAAAAGGAATAGACAAGGGTGCCAAAAACGATCAGGTGTAGGAACAGCTTCCATATAAGTGGAGATTAAAAAGACAAGGAATGATCAGATTGGAAAAGAAATGACTGGGGGGAGGGAGGTCTGATAAAAGCCTATAAAATCATGAATGGTATAGAGAAAATAAGGAAGCATTATTGACTCTCATAGCACAAGAATCAGGGGTCATCCAATGTAGATTCTGACCAAAGCAGACTGGGAAGAGCTTCCAAAAGATCTCACCAAACTAAGTGACTGGGCAACTAAATGGCAAATGAAATGTAATGTTGATAAATGTAAAGTAATGCACATTGGAGAAAATAATCCCAACTATACATACAATATGATGGGGACTAATTTAGCATGTTAACTATCTGATAAGCATTTGCTATCTGGATAGCATTTGCTTATCGGATAGTCGACTGGTCATTCTCATCCCTGTGGTTGCCTCATCTCAAAAAAGATATAATCATTATAATACTTCACAAAAAGTATTAATTAATTTTTACCCTATTTTCACCCTACTTTTGTATCATTCAAATACATAAAAAAGTAACAGGTTTTTGTAGGAACATACAATACATCACATGAGATTCCTCTATTATGATAAATACATTATTCTGTGTGTATGTACAAAGCTTTCTGTTGAAGTAAAGCTGTGTAGTAGTCTAGAGGATAGACAACAGTCACACATGCCAACTCTGAAGTGCGTGCACATCTGAACTTACTGATGAATCTCATGCCCACTGTTGCACATATAAGACTGTTAGCAGATAATGGTTTAAAGATCTGACATACTAAAATGGGAAGGTAACAAAAACCTATATTAAGGAAGCATTATTGACTCTCATAGCACAAGAATCAGGGGTCATCCAATGTAGATTCTGACCAAAGCAGACTGGGAAGAGCTTCCAAAAGATCTCACCAAACTAAGTGACTGGGCAACTAAATGGCAAATGAAATGTAATGTTGATAAATGTAAAGTAATGCACATTGGAGAAAATAATCCCAACTATACATACAATATGATGGGGACTAATTTAGCATGTTAACTATCTGATAAGCATTTGCTATCTGGATAGCATTTGCTTATCGGATAGTCGACTGGTCATTCTCATCCCTGTGGTTGCCTCATCTCAAAAAAGATACATTGGCATTGGAAAAGGTTCGGAAAAGGACAACAAAAATGATTAAGGGTTTGGAATAGGTCCCATATGAAGAGAGATTAAAAATATTAGAACTTTTCAGTTTAGAAGAGAGGAGACTAAGGGGGGGATATGATAGAGGTCTATAAAATCATGACTGGTGTGGAAAAAGTGAATAAGGCAAGGTTATTTACTTATTCCCATAATATAAGCACTGGGGAGGGGGGTCACCAAATGAAATTAGTAGATAGCAGGTTTAAAACAAACAAAAGGAAGTTTTCTTCATGCAGTGCACAGTCATCCTGTGGAATTCCTTGCCAGAAGATATTGTAAAAACTAGGCCTTTAACAGGGTTCAAAAAAAGAGTAGATAAATTCATGGAGGTTAGGTCCATCAATGGCTATTAGCCAGGATGGGCAGGAATGAGGTCCTTAGCCTCTGTTTGTCTGGAAATGGATGACAGGTGATGGATCATGTGATGATTACCTGTTGTGTTTACTCCCTCTGGGGCATCTGGCATTAGCCACTGTGGGCAGAAAGGATACGAGACTAGATGGACCTCTGGTCTGACCCAGTATGGCCCTTCTTATGTTCTTAATGAAAGTAATAGGCTAAAGTTTTAAAACTAAAGACAGTAGGTCACATAATTAATTTGTGGAATTCAATGCTAAAGTGTTAACTATCTGATAAGCATTTGCTATCTGGATAGCATTTGCTTATCGGATAGTCGACTGGTCATTCTCATCCCTGTGGTTGCCTCATCTCAAAAAAGATACATTGGCATTGGAAAAGGTTCGGAAAAGGACAACAAAAATGATTAAGGGTTTGGAATAGGTCCCATATGAAGAGAGATTAAAAATATTAGAACTTTTCAGTTTAGAAGAGAGGAGACTAAGGGGGGGATATGATAGAGGTCTATAAAATCATGACTGGTGTGGAAAAAGTGAATAAGGCAAGGTTATTTACTTATTCCCATAATATAAGCACTGGGGAGGGGGGTCACCAAATGAAATTAGTAGATAGCAGGTTTAAAACAAACAAAAGGAAGTTTTCTTCATGCAGTGCACAGTCATCCTGTGGAATTCCTTGCCAGAAGATATTGTAAAAACTAGGCCTTTAACAGGGTTCAAAAAAAGAGTAGATAAATTCATGGAGGTTAGGTCCATCAATGGCTATTAGCCAGGATGGGCAGGAATGAGGTCCTTAGCCTCTGTTTGTCTGGAAATGGATGACAGGTGATGGATCATGTGATGATTACCTGTTGTGTTTACTCCCTCTGGGGCATCTGGCATTAGCCACTGTGGGCAGAAAGGATACGAGACTAGATGGACCTCTGGTCTGACCCAGTATGGCCCTTCTTATGTTCTTAATGAAAGTAATAGGCTAAAGTTTTAAAACTAAAGACAGTAGGTCACATAATTAATTTGTGGAATTCAATGCTAAAGGATGTTATGGAGGCTCAAATTAAAATGGTATTCAAAATCAAAAAAGAATTGGAAAAATGTATGCAGGACAGGTGGCTCAATAGGTATTGGCCAAGGTGGTTAGAAATGCAACCCCACGCTCTGGGTGGTGCTGCTGCCCATATGTGCTGACTTCTCTGCCCCTTCTCCCAAGCCCTCATCCCAACTCAACTCTTCCCTGAGCAGTCCCCTCCCCATTCCTTTCCCTCTCTCATGGAGCCTCCTGCACCACTGGGGAGGGGGGTCACCAAATGAAATTAGTAGATAGCAGGTTTAAAACAACCAAAAATAAGTATTTCTTCTTGCAGCTCACAGTCATTTTGTAGAACTCCTTGCCACAGCATATTGTAAAGACCAGGACTTTAACAAGGTTCAAAAAAGAACTGGATAAATGCATGGAGGTTAGGTCCATCAATACTTATTAGACAGGATGGGTAGAAATGTGTCCCTAGCCTATGTTTGTCAGAGGCTGGAAATAGGTGATGGGGAAGAATCATTTGATGATTACCTGGTCTGTTCACTCTCTCTGGGGCCCCTGACATTGACTACCATTGGAAGCTAGGATACTGGGCTAGATGGGCCTTTGGTCTGACCCAGTATGGCAATTTATATGGTCTTATGGGCCAACACCACAGGTTATCATGCTGACCAAACATCTCATTCTTTGTTTCCTTGTTCTCCCCCTTGTTGCTTGGTGTGTTATTTCTTGTTGTGTAAACTTTTTGTTGCGGGAACCATCCTTTTTTCCCCCCTCCCTCTCTTATATAGTGCCTGGCACCTACCTCCTACGGTTCTACAAATGATAATTATTGTAAGTTTTTTCATAGAACACTAATGATAATAGGCACCAATGTCTCGCTTGGGCAGGATGTGAGTGTGTGCTCAATCCCTCCCTCTGCTTCCATGGAGAAACAACTTTCCAGGCTCGCAAAAAGTGCTGGGAGGAAAAAGGAGGAGCTGATTAGCTGGGCTGCCACCAGATGAGAGGTGGGAGGGAAGGAGATCTTGGCTGCGGGTGGTTCCTAGGCACCTGCTAATTTTCCTGGAGGGGTGCGCCAACTGACCTAGAAAACTGACTCCTTCAAGAAAGTAGGAGTGATCAATGGAGGATGGAACAGATGAGGATGGCCTGTTCCATTCACTCTTCACTCCTTTTGAAAAACCTGGCACTGGCCACTCTTGGAAGGCAGGATACAGACTATTGGTCTAAGCAGTATGGCTGTTCTTATGTAAAGTGCCTCCGGAGACTACTGGTCTAAGCAGTATGGCTGTTCTTATGTAAAGTGCCTCCGGCTAGGTCTATACTATAGCCTTTTTCTGGAAAAAGCTCCGCAAATTGTGCTCCTCAGTGTGTGTAGCTTTTTCCGATTGCTTTTCTGGAAGAGGCTTTTCCGCCATTTGGACCCATCTAGATGGGGCCAAATAATGGAAGAGCCTCCTCTTTCGGAGGAGCCTTATTCCTCATAGAGTAAGGTATACAGAGCTCCCTGAAAAAGCATGTTTGCTCTTTTGCCAAAAAAAGCGGAAGAGAAAACGTGTTCCAAGGACGCAGCAGAGTTTTTCCTGGATA